TGGAGTCACACAGAAATGACTAAACTCCTGGCTGGGCTGACCTACCTGAGGTCGTTGCATAACTTCTCTGGGTCTCAGGGTTTCTGGTGAGAGTTAACTGAGATGATACACAAGGCCAAAGTTTGCAAATGTTTTGCTCTCATGGTTGCCTCTGCCTGGGCCTAGCACAACCCATCCCTCAAGATCAAGCTGTGAAATCAGCCTTTCTCTTAACTAGAAGGAGGAAGGGTGGGGGTAAAAATTTTGGCCAGTGGGAGCTAAAGTTTTTTTCAAGTGTTGCATGCATGCACTAGCACATGCACAAGTGCGTGCACAGCATTTTTACACTCCACAAGCATGACACAAGAAGAAGTTACATAGCAAGAATGAAAACAAACCTAGATTAAATATCAGCATCCTGTTCTTTAGGTATCCCTCAGCCCCATGCCACTCCAACAAGGCCAACCATCGCCCTTGCCTCAGATTCTTCTCATGCTTTTATGTGGAACAAATCAGCTCTGCCCAGCCCTGACTCCCAGATTTAACTCCAGGTCTACCTGCCTTCTGAAGCCCTTTCTCCTGACATAGTTGTCCTCATTAACAGGCAATTAACACCCGCAAGTAGTAAGTTTTGCCCTACTTAACCCTTCAACTACACAAATCCCTAAGGAATTTGGGATTCACATCCATAAATGTCCTCTCAGGAGACAGCTGGGGTGTAAGACGGTATTTCCTCATTTTCAGTCATTCAAATAAGATCTTCATGGTTTGTACCATATATTCAGACCACGTCTACTATCTGACGGAATAAGGCCCCTCCAAATATGTTGACATCCTAATCTCCAGAACCTATGAATATGTCACCTTACATGGCAAAACGGATTTTGCAGGTGTGATTAAATTAAGGATCTCAAAATGGGGATATTGTCCTACGTTATCCAGGCAGGTCCCACATAACGGCAAAAGGGTGGAAAGAGGGTTGAAGTCAGAAGAAGGAGATGGGAAGCAAGGAAAAGGCCTCCAGGAAGGAAGGCACCTCTAGAATCTGGAAAAGGCGAGGAAACAAATCACACTCTTCATAAAACAAGTTCAAATGGATCACAGGCCTAAATGTAAAGTGTAAAACTATAGAATCACTAGCAGATAACATAAGACAATATTGGAGGACCTCGCACGTGGTGATGCCTTTTTGGATGCATCACCAAGGACAGGATCCATGCAAGTAATAATTGATAATTTGGACTCTAGAGCAGGTTTTTCCCTAGAGCCTCCAAAAGGAATGTAGCCCTGTTGACACCTTGACTTTAGGACCTCTGATCTCCAGAACTGTAAGACAATAAACTGTAAGACAAATTTAAACCACTACCTTTGTGGTAATTTGTTACAGCAATAGGAAACTAATATTTTATGTAATATTTTCTTTATGCATTTTTTAGAGCAGTTTTAAGTATACAACATAATTAAGAGGAAGATACAGAGATTTGCTATATACCCCCCTGCCCCCACACATGCATAACCTCCCCCATTATCAACATCACTCACCAGAATGGTACATTTCTCACCAAGGATGAGCCTCCAGTGACACATCATAATCACCCAAAGCCCATAGTTCAGCTTAGGGTTCACTCTTGCTGTTCTATTTTCTATGGGCTTGGACAAATGTATAATGACATGTATCCATGATTATATCATACAGAGTATTTTCACTGCCCTAAAAAATTCTCTGTGCTCTGCCTATTAGTCTCTTCCCTCCCCCTCCCACCAGCAATCACTGATCCTTGTACTGTCTCCGTAGTTTTGCCATTTTTAGAATGTCACATAGTTGGAATCATACGGTATGGAGCCCTCTAAGATTGAATTCTTTTACTTCATAGTACACTTTAAGTTTCCTCCATCTCTTTTTATGACTTGATAGCTCATTACTTTTTAATGCTGAATAGTATTCCACTATCTGGATGGACCACAGTTTATCCATTCCACTGCTAAAGGACATCCTGTTTACTTCCATGATTTGTCAATTATGAATAAAGCTGCTATGAACATCCAGGTGCAGGTTTTTGTGTAGACATAAGTTTCCAACTCCTTTGGGTAAATACCAAGATGTACAACTGCTGGATTGTATGGTAAGTGTATATTTAGTTTTGTTCAAAACTGTCAAATTGTCTTCCAAAGTGTCTCCACCATTTTGCATTCCTACTAGCAATAAAGGAGAGTTCCTGCTGCCTCCACCAGTATTTAGTGTTGTCAGGGCTCCAGGTTTTGGCCATTCTGAGGGGTATACAGTGGTATCTCATCATTGTTTTAGCTTGCAATTCCCTGATGGCATGTGATAGGGAGCATCTTTTCATATGCTTATTTTCCATTTGTATATATTCTTTGATGAAGTATCTGTTGAAACCTTTGGTCCATTTTTTGTTGTTTGTTGTTTGTTCTCTTATTGTTGAGTTTTAAGAGTTCTTTGTATATTTTGGATAAAAGTTCTTTATCAAATGTGTCTTTTGCCACTATTTTCTCCCATTCTGCAGCTTTTTTCCAAATCATTTGATATTGCTATTCCCAGCACAGAATTTTTTTAATTTTCATGAAGTCCTGGCTTATTAATTGTTTCTTTTAAGGATCATGCCTTTGGTGTTATATCTAAAAAGGCATGATCGTACCCAAGTTTTTCTACGTTTTCTCCTATGTTATGTTATGTTTTAAAATTTTAATAGTTTTTTTATTTTACACTTGGGTCTATGATCCATTTTGAGTTAATTTTTGTGAAGGATGGAAAGCCTATGTCTAAATCAGTTTTTTCACATTTGGATGTCCTGTTGTCCCAGCACCATTTGGTAAAAAGACTATCTTGGCTTCATTGTATTGCCTTTGCTCCTTTATCAAAGACCAGTTGACTGTATTTATTGGGTCTATTTTGGGCTCTCTATTCTGTTCTATTGGTCTATTTGTCTGTTCTCTCACCAATGCCACTCTGTCTTGATTATTCTAGCTTTATAGTAAGTCTTAAAGCCAGGTAGCATCAATCCTCCAACTTTGTTGTTCTCTTTCAATATTGTTGGCTATTCTGATTAATTCTTTATGTAATGTTTAAATCTATTTTTTACTTACTAATTTAGCCTCATTCTAACAATAGTATCCATGGAATCAATGGCTTTGAAGTGCTTATCAGGTATCTTCTAATACACAATAAAATAAACACATGATTATTAAGTGAAAAACACTCACCCATGTCCCATTTTACCCTCCATCTCCTTATACACCTACCCCAATGGAACAGCAATATACACTTTGGAAAACTGGTGGGAGGAAATACTCAAAACCCCCAAGATGAAAAACCAGGGTTCCACACTTGGCTCTTCCACTGATTGGCCATAGACTGGTCACTTCAGGTATAGTCTTTAGTCTTCCCTCTGTACAAGGGATTCAGTGGAACCTTAGTGTTTTGGATCCTAGCCCTGTGCTGGCCACTAGGAATATCCAGGATAGTCCTTGGCTGAGCAAGGGATCACAGACCACTTGAGTTAGTGAAATACTTCCATTCCATGACCCCTAACTCTACTCCTCTTCCCTGAGGCCTCCAGCCTCTGCTCAGAGTTAGAAAACTGACGTTTAGAGCAACAGCAGTTCCTGTCCCCCATCCCTCATCTTCATCTATGCACCAAGGATAGCTGGTTAGCATCTCCCCCATCCCCACGTTGGGCGCCTCGAATCACACTCACATAGAGATGGTGATAAATCAACCAATCCAGTGTGGTTTAATGGCAGGATCAGTGGAGTGGAAGTCCAAAATTTGGTTAAAATTATGGCTCTATGGCCTGCTAGTGGTATGCTCTTCACCTCTCTGAGACTCAAGTGCCTCATTTATAAATATGGAAAATCCTATGGACTTCAAAGTATCTGTGTGAAAATTCAACGGAATAGCATATGCTTGGTCTGCCAGCACTGAGCCTGACACCCACGGTATGTTCAGTAAATATTAGTTAGGGATGAATTGGAATCAATAACCATTTCCTATGTAGAGGTGATGAAACCTTTACAGGGACTCCTGACAAGCTCTTGTTGGGATGTGTGTGTGTGCGTGTGTGTGTGTGTGTACTATCATTTGTTTGTACGCGGACTGGGCTTTAAGATGTTGCAAGTGTGGTGATGTTTAGGAAGACTCCACCACTTTTTTAGCCCGACTCTCCACTTCAGTGAAGAGAGTAAACAAAAGGAGTGCAGGGGAGAAAGGGTGGGAGGGAAGGAGAGAGGAAGGCCGGGAGGGAGAAAAAAATCAGAAGGAACAGCAGCAAGCCTCCGGTGCTGGAGGTTACTTATCGATCTTAGAGCTACTCCAAGAGCTGAGCAGAGGCCCCAGGAGGAAAAGAAAATTGAACCAGTTTCCAGCGCCAGGTTTTCTTGCTTCTTCATCTATGGCCAACGCCTGCCCCCTTGTGGATGTTTTCCAAACCGCTTGTATTTTCTAAAAGGCAACGAAACCTGGAGAGGCTCACAAAGAGAAAAGGTTTGAAGGCCTTGGGAGGTTCTCCTTTGTCTGCAAGATAAAAACCGCTAGGACGAAGCTCCCGCATGATCCAGCCCCTGGCAAAGACAACCTCCTCTCCGCAGACTCCCTCGCTGGCCCTCTATGCTCCAAGAACAACAAGCTTCCCTAGCTTCCCGGTAATAGTGGTAAGAGGCCAATCTGGGAATCAGACCAGAGTTCAAATCCTCACTTCTTTTCTCCCTAGCTGTGTGTCTGGGCAAGTCACTTGACCTCTCTAAATGTGTTCTTCATCTGTAAAATCGGGGTAATAACATCTGCCTCCTAAAATTGCTCTAGAGTTAGATAAGCTAAAGCCTGGAAGGCATCTTACAATCATAATTCACCCCAATACCCTTTAGGTGCTATTTGTAAACTTATCATAGTATTCCTATCTCTGAGCCATTCATTGAACAAGCATTTATTATGAACTACATGAATGACAAAATAAGGCACAGTCTTTAAAGATCTTGTAGCTGGTAAAGAAAGAAATATAGACCGATAATTATCATACTTTTAATTTGGCAAAGGCAGTGGCAGAGTTAAAGATAGTTTGAGTTCCCCCCAAAAAACAAAGCTAAGATGAGGGATCATAGGCATTCATTTATTTTGGGAAGTGGTTCCTAGGGAACAGGGATGGAGGTCTGGGGGCTTGGGAAGAGAGAACCAAGCAGAAAAGAAAGCCAGTACACGGTGCTTTATCAAGCTGGATCATGTGGGGCCACTGGGGTGCACCCCCTGGGACTCTGGAAGGCGCCTCAAGGAATGTACCTCATGCTGAGTGCCTGAAGGACAGAAGAGAAGACATCAGTCTACCAGCTCCCGCACCACCACCACCACCCCCACCCGCACCCCCCACCCCACTCCCTGGCCCAGGCTCAAGAGTTACTCATTCCGTGTTCACTCCTGCCCTTCAGGGTTTGTGCCTATGCAAATACCTGGCACATTCCTGAAGGCATCTGGAACCTCCAGGTCAGGCAAGGCCAGGGCAGAAAGTGAAATAGGCAGCAAGATACGCTAGGGAAGCGCGAATCTTGAACCTGCTCAAAGCTGGTGGCCCCAGCAACAGTTGGAATAAAATACGGGCAGACAGGCTGCAAGCTGGGCATAAGAGGGGTCCAGTGAAGGCACAGAATATCACAGGAAGAGAAGAGGGCACATAGCACAGCACCAAGCCTTGCTGAAGGGGATTAGTGCTCTTATAGAAGAGACTCCAGAGAGCTCCCAGCCCCTCCCACCAGGGGGCGATACAATGAGAAGTCTGAAATTCAGAACTGGGCCCCTCCCCTGGCCATGCAGGTTCCCTGATCCTAGACTAACAGCCTCTAGAACTGTGAGCAATAAATTTCTGTTGTTTATAAGCCACCCAGGTTGTGGTATTTTATCATAGCAGCCCAAGCTGAGACAGGGATGGATGCTGACCTCTGATTTGCTACATTCAAGTCACCACAGGGACACCCAAGAGCAGAGGGCCAAGAGGTTCCTTGGAAGGGGAGTCTGGTTGGTGAAGCCTGATTGTTGGAGTATGGAGAGATAGAACAGGATGTCGAAAGGATATTATGTGTCAGAGTTTCTAGTGATGCCCACAGGCCAAGAACAGGATAGGTACCAAGTCCCCAGCAGAGTGTGAGATCATTTGTGCAGGGCCCATGAGGAAACTGAGAATCCATTACCAGGGTCCTTGAACACTCACCTCCAGCCTACAACAAAGGGATGAAAAGGGAGAGGCAAGGTCTTAGGGGAGCTTTGGAGAGCTATGGTATTTCTCCTTTCTTTCACTCACAGAGGCAAAGGCTCAAGTTTTTCAGCAGCCAGATGTGGGCCATGTGGGAAGGAGCCCATCTCAAACAATCTTGAAAGGTCCACTGCCCAAGAGAATGGCCTGGAAGAACAAAGTGACCAGCACAGAAGGAAAACCTGGAAACCTAGAGGCCCCACAGAAGGGGCAAAGGGTTATACCTGCTGGAGGAGAAAGCTATGTTCAGGGTTGCTGGTCAGAGGACCCCAGCAGGGATGCAACCAACAAAAGAAGCAGCATCTAAAATTCTGCCAATCCCAGACAGCACCTGTGGCTGAATAGATATCTGAGCCAGTCGAGTACGCCTTTCCTGTCCTGGACTCTTCCTGGAAGCAACTTCCCGGAAAGTGGATATACCAGCCCAATCAAGCCTTCAGATGAACATAACTCCAGGTGACATCTGACTGTAATCTTGTGGGAGACCCCAAGCCAGAGCCCCCAAATTAGCCACCCCCAAATTCCTGACCCACAGAGACTATGTAGGATAATAAGCACTGTTCTTTTAAGCCACTGAGTTGAGGGTGATTTGTTATAAAACAATAGACAATTAAGACATGACTCTATCCCACAACTACTGATGCAGAACTGGGGAAGGTTCTAGGAATCCATTTTTAATAAGCTCCCTACATGATCTCGTTTGCTGACGAACCAAAGTTGGAGAAAGAAGACAACCGAGCAGCATCTCTGGGAGCACTGATATTCATCCATGAATTTTACAGTCCTGAAGGTGAAACAGGCAAATAAGCACACCACATGCTGTCTTTCTTGTTTGGTTCTTGTTTTTATTGAGATGTAATTGACATATAACATTGTGTTACTTCAAAGTGGACATGTTGACCGGATACATTTACAGATTGCAATATGACTACAATCTTTGATAACACCTCTAATACATCACATAATTATCATTTTTGCGTGTGTAGTGAGAACATTGAAGATCTACTCTTAGCAACTTTGAAGTACATAATATAGCATTGTTGACTATAATCATTATTGCTGTGCATTAGATTCCAGAACTTATTCATCCAGTTGCAAGTTGTGTAATTGTAATCGTGGGATCTGCATTGGTGGATAGTTGTCTGGGGCATCAATTTGTAACAGTCACTGAAACGTTACCAGAATAGTTTGTACCTAAATAAGCTGACAGCACCGCCAAGTGGACATTTTTAGAACTCCGCTCCTCTGAGTTTTTCTCTGCACCTGCAGTCACAGGCAGCTAAAGCCCATCACCGTGGGCTGAAATGCTGATTCAGATTATGTTTGCCTCTCTGCTGTGTCGCAGCCTTTGACCACCTAAACCACAAGCCCTTTCAAGGCCCTCCCAAGAAATCTGATCTGGAAGATCAGATAGGGAAACCAGAATAAATACTACCAACAAGAATGATGTTGCCAAAGTATTTTCAAAATGTTGGGTTGGTTACTGCTCGCAGAAATAAATCAGTTTAAAAAAAAAAAGAAAGAAAGAGGGATTCCTGGGTGGCTCAGTGGTTGAGCATCTGCCTTTAGCCCAGGTCCTGAATACTGGGGTCCTGGGATTGAGTCTGCATCGGGCTCCCCGCAGGGAGCCTGTTTCTCCCTCTGCCTGTGTCTCTGCCTCTTTCTCTGGGTCTCTCATGAATAAATAAATAAAATCTTAAAAAATAAATAAAAGAAAGAAAAAAGCATTTGCCATGAAATTTTTATTAACCAAAAATCTGTTTCTCCACAACAGATACTTTTTCATATCCATTCAAAGAAGTATCAAACTATTAACTGTTGGTAGCCCACACATCCCAGTGAGGCTTGTTTGAGCTTCCTGGAAGTAGAAAAGAATGGCTACACCATTATAGGAGCAGGTGAAAGAAAGCATGTTAGGCTGGAGCATGAGTGAGGGATAAAAAGGATTCAGTATCAAGTTTACTGATTCTCATGTCCATACTGTTTCCTAAAAACCAGAGGCACAAAGACCACCCCTAAGTCTTGCCTCACATGATATGAAAGAGACCATGACAGAGCTGAGAGCCTGCAGCCCAGTCATCCTCTCTCGGCCCAAAAGCGCTTGCCTTCCTGTACCACTCTGGGTGCCATTTTGTCTCACTTTGGCACAAGACTAAGTTAGAGAATGGCAGGAAGAGCTTGGCAGGTAAGGATTCTGACACTAATTCCACGTGGGTGTTTTCCCCACACCGAGCAATTCTCCGACACCAGCTGGATGTCCTACAATTCAACTCATTCTGACATTATCTACCCAGAGATAGCACCACATCCCACAGGGTAAGGGCTCAGTCCCACAGCACTACCCATGACAATTGGTAATAACAAGCTCAAGTTGTCACCTATGCTTCTTGACCAACCAGCCCTAGATTGGAAGTTCCCAAGCCTCCCTCTTGAGGACTCAAAAGACAGAACTCAAAGACACATTTTACTTGCCAGATTACCGGTTTACTATAAAAGAATATAACTCAGGACCAGCAGAGGGCAAGATATAGGGGAAGGCGAGCTGAGCTTCCAGGTCCTCTTGGAGGGGAGGGCACCACCTTCCCCCCATCTCCACCTGTTCTCCAACCCAGAAGCTCTCCAAACCCCATCCTTTTGGGTTTTGTGGAGGTTTCACCATATAGATATGATTGATTAAATCATTGGTCACTTGCAGTTGATTCAACCTCCAGACCTTCTCCCTTCTCCAGAGCTTCAGCTGGAAGTGGTTGAAAGTTCCAACCCTCCAATCACTTGATTGGTTCTCTTGGCAACTGTGCTCAACCTCAGGTGTGGTCCAAAAGTCACTTCGTTAATGTAATAAAACACACCTGTCTTGCTCTTATCACCTCAAAAATTCCAAGGGTTTAGGAGCTCTGTGCCAGAAACCAGGACTAAGGCCAAATACGAATTTCTATTATAAATCACAATATCACAGCAGGGGATCAAAGCAGCCAGGCCATTACAGCAGACACCCACAGGGGTTCATGGCAACCTGTACACTCTAAGGAGGGCTGTGATTTCCTCCTCTGTTTCAGAGCACTCTGCATATGCAACAAATATACAGCCCTTCCTAGGTACCAGGCACCATGCTGTGTGCTGAGGATATGAAGGTGAGTTTAAAAAACAAGTGAGGCATCAGGGTGGCCTAGTCAGTTAAGCATCCGACTTGATTTTGGCTCAGGTCATGATCTCAGGGTTGTGGGATCGAGGGGAGAGGCTGCTTGAGATTTTGTCTCTCCCTCTGCCCCTCTCCCCTGCTCCCACGTGCTCTCTCTCCCTCTCATTCTTTCTAAAGTAAATAAATCTTAAAACAAAACAAAACAAAAACAGGCATACACTGCTGTTCTTGTCTCATGGAGCTTAAAGGCTGATGGGGGACAGACTAATCACCATCACACAAACAAGAGTAAACTACAATTCTGGAAGGGACTATGAAAAGTCCTAATGTGGAATTTGAGCCAGTAGGGGTGCTAGGAATAGCTTTCCCCTGGAAGTGATTCTGTGGAATGAGCATGAAATAACAGGGGAAGATTATTGCAAAGACTCTAAAGAGCAGGAAGCCCGGGGACCTGGGCATCTGTCTTGGGCTCAGGTCATGATCCCAGGTCCTGGGATGGAGCCCCCCACCAGGTCCCTGCTCAGAAGGGAGCCTACTTCTCCCTCCCTGCCTCTGCCTTCCCCTCGTGCTCTCACTCTGCTCTCTCTCAAATAAATAAAATCTTTAAAAAAAGAACAGGCAAACTTCCTAAACCACGTTTTTTCTTTAGCTAAGAATTAGCTAGAATTCAATGAAGAGCTTAAGATGAGCTTTCCCTTTTATATATATATAGAATTTAGCTCTATACCTTTTTGTAGGGCAACGAATGCCATATAAAATCTTATCACTGGGGCTCCTGGCTGGTTTAGTCGGTAGAGCCTATGACTCTTGATCTGGGGGGTCGTGAATTCAAGCCCCACATTGGGTGTAGAGCTTACTTAAAAAATATATATATATTATCACTTTCCAGGAAGCGAGGACCACAGAGACAAGGCAAAGAGAGAGAAGAAAAGGGGATGGGGAGAAAGCCAGAGATCATAGAGGACGGGAGGGGAGCACGTCATGCCCCATCCACTCCCTGACTTTTCCCATCACCCAAGCTTTGGATGAGCTTTTTGTTTACCTGGATCAGCAATTCATGGTGATCCTTGAGGTCAGTCACTTAACCTCCTGGAGGGACCCCCAGTCCAACCAATACCCCTGAGGGCAAAACTGAAAGGCTGATGGAGAGCTCAGAGTGTACAATCGTCCTCCCAAGCCCCAGTTCCATCACCCAGAGCTGTGGGCCAGACAAGTGGATGTCCCTCTCTTTGCCTCAGTTTTCTAATCTGTAAAATGGAAAAATAATCGTGACTAATAGGGTTATTCTGAGGCTGAAACAGATGAGGAACGGGCATGGTGCCTGGCATGTAGTAGGCACCATATATTGTCATCATCCCCGCAGATCCAGGAGTGAAGAGCCTGAGTCAGTCAAGGAACCAGCACGCACAGCCGCTATTATGTGTACTTAGCTAGATCACTCCCTAACTGAATAGTGTGGGATGTAGTGTTTACCCGGTAAACAGACTCTGCCTTTTGTTTGTTATCATGCAGGAGGCAAGATAGAGAGTAAATAAATGAGGACAAATTATTAACCAACTGATAACAAGAAGAAACAACCATCCTTCTCTGGCAGAGGCAGAGTACAGTGGTCAAGATTCAACTCATTTGTATAAACTTAAGTCATCACTCATGACCCAGAGACCCCTCATTATTGCTCCTTTTGGTGTATTTCCTCCCACTTTTCCCCACCTACTTGTATACAATATTTTACTGCATCTAAAACACTGTTGGTTTTAAGTGACACCATTACTTTATGGGCATTAAGAACACTACCAATTAAGCTATGACACATCATCAGTTGTAAGATGCTACTGGTTTCAACAACAGTGAAATATACAAATACACAGAGTGTCTTCACATTGACAAAATACGGCACAATGTGTTTAGCTGGAGTCACGTGGTATTATATAATAACATATATCATGCATCCTGCCTTTTGCTTGGTATTATACCATGAAAAATTTCTCACATCGGGATGCCTGAGTGGCTCAGCGGTTGAGCATCTGTCTTCAACCCAGGGCATGATCCTGGAGTCCCAGGATCGAGTCCCATATCAGGATCCCTGCATGGAGGCTGCTTCTCCCTCTGCCTGTGTCTCTGCCTCTCTCTCTGTGTGTCTCTCATGAATAAATAAAATCTTTTAAAAATTTTCTCATATCACTAAGCATTATTTGAAAACGTGATCTTTAATAAGAGCAATAATAATAAATTACATCTGTTATTAGCACAACTAAATGATGCTAAATCTCTGGCTTATTTGTGGGCTGGTATAGTAGGGTGGCTGAGAGCAGACTCTATAGACTGAATGCCTGTTCAAATCCTGGCTCTCACTGCCTCCTAAGTGACTTTGGGCAAGTAGTTCTCCTTCTGCCTCACACCTCTCACTGTAAAAGGGACATCAGAGTAGGAGTTTCTCATTAGAGCTGTAAAGATTGGTTAATGCTTATTAAGCAGTACCTACACAGTATAGAAAGCGCTCAATAAATGTTAGCAGTAGTGATTAACAACACTCTGCTGTTGGTCTCTTGAGTTGTTTCGAGGATTTCAGTAATTAATGATGCAGGAATTAACATGTTTGATATCATTTTTGTCCATGGATGGATGGATAGATAGATATGTAAAAATCCCATAATAATGGGAGTTCCCTAAAGAATAAAAGTTTATGTGCTAGCACTTTCTTTTGGGGTAGATGCAATCTCAGGAAGCAGGAACGAAGAGGAAAGACAGTGAGGCAGGAAAAGAAAAATCCCAGGCAGCACATTCCTGGACTGATCACAGCTTGGTAACAAGTGCAGCTGGCTGCTTGGTCTTGAGAGAGGTCTTCAGAGGGGCTGAATAAATTTTATTTTATTACATTTGTTTTTATTTAGGTTCTATTTACCAACATATAGTATAACACCCAGTGCTCATCCGGGGCTGAATAAATTATTGTATCTCAGAGAAGTCCTGCTGAGGGAGCAAGAGGCTCCCTCCAGGCTCCTCCCCCACCCCACAAAGGGATGGCAACTTGTCCCCTTTAGAGTGATCACCTGGCCCTTCCAGGTCACCACTGGGGAAGTCCAGCCCCTGTAGGTCCCACCAGCCAGTGTGCAAGATGGCATCTCTGGCAGGCAGTGCAGACAAAGGGTAGCAGCAGCAACAGCAGCAGGGGCTAGGCCCAGAACTAGAGGAACCACAAGTTATATAGGGCGGCTCTAGGCATAAAGCTGTGCAAGTGTATCTGGGGAGCGCATAAACCGACACACACACCGAGGGTTATTTTGAAAATCAAATGAGAACATACTCCAAGTTCCTGGCACCCAATAAACAATAAATGATAACTCTTTGTGTTCCTACTTCTCTCTCCAAAAGACTTTAAGTGCTTCTTAAGGCAGATCTCTCTTATTCACCTTTGTAATATGCACAGCATTTTGCAAATCAGAGTGGGTCAGTAAATATTTGCCAATTAAGTGCATGTTTTTAACCTGACCCTGAGAAGGTATTTAATAGCTGATTGAACTACTAAATGATGTAGCTCTTAAAAACTAACATGACTGTTTTCCATCATATTTCAACATAAATCAGAAACTAATTTATTTAACTAAAACTTTCTTTTTTTAAGATTTTATTTATTTGAGAGAAAGAGAAAGAGCACATGAGCAGGGGGAGGAGTGGAGGGAGAAGGAGAAGCAGGCTCCCCACTCAGCAGGGAGCCTAATGAAGGACTCAATCCTAGAACCCCAGGATCACGACCTGAGTCGAAGGCAGACGCCCAACCAACTGAGCTACCCAGGTGCCCCTTAACTAATATTTCCTGAGCACTTTGCTCAGTCCCTTTGCATGTATTAATCTGCTTACTCCTTGGAGACTGTTGCCATTATGCTCCCATTTCTGATTCAGTTTAGACACTGAGAGAGATTAAAGGATATGCTCAAGGTTTCTACAGCAAGTAAAAGGAAGCACCCTGTTCAAATGCAGGCATTCTGACTCCAGAGTCCTTATACTTAATCATTAACTCTCTACAGCTTCTGGGCATAGGTCACATTCTGGCTGTAAGTTCCCAAGAAAAGCCACATCTATGTAATGAACAGACTGCAAGGGGCTCCTTCCCAGTGCTCAGCAGCCCTGTGACATGCAGCTCTGACTACTACCAGAAGCTGTGTACACCTTGGGAATGTATTGGCTGACCTCCAAACTGCTGAGAACCCATCTGGAGGGAGGAGAAGCTTCAGTCAGGAGCATGGCAGGAAATGAGCACTGGGGACAAGCACTTTTCAGCAAACTCAGGTTAAGGAAACCTGAAAATTCAAGAAGCCAGGCTGCAAATTTTATATATCAGATCAGCCCCCTGGGAAAAGATGTCAGCAACAGAGTCTATGTCTGAGGACAAAGCAGACCTCAAAGCCTGCTAGATTTTTCTAGATTCTGATCAGGAACAAAGTTTAGAAGACTCCAACAAAGTATGTACATTGAGTCAAAGCTGTCTGCACCCCAACTCCTTTCCTCCCCTGCTCTCTTGCCCCCGCTGCTCTCCTGAAACTGGCCAGCAGCATTTTGGGTGGCCGCCAGCAACAAAGTCCTTCATCTTACCTGCCTTCTCAACAGTGCTTGACAGCACTATCCTTCTCAATATGCTTTCTTCACTTTATTCCTAGGGATACCACATTCTTAGTTTTCCTCCTACCTTGTCGGTTGTTCCTTCTCAGTGTCCCTGGTTGAGTTCCTCTTCTTCTCAACCTCTCAGTTTTAGAGCGATCGGTCCTTGGTCTTCACTACTCTGCACGCACTTAATGGATTGCTAGTGTCATAGTTTGGGCTGCTGTATCAAACCAGCACGAACTGACTGGCTTATAAACAACAGCAATGCATTTCTCACAGTTGTGGAGGTTGGAAGTCTGAGATTGGGGTGCCAGTATGCTCAGGTTTTGGTGAGAGCCCACTTTTGAGGGCAGAACCTTGACTTCTGCACTCAGAATGCTTTTATCCTCACATCTCCAGCAAGCAGAACAGAAAAGCAAGCTCTTTCATGACTCTAAGGGCACTAATTGTGCAAGCCCTACTCTCTGATGACCTCATCTCATCCTAATTATCTCCCAAAGGCCCTACTTCCTAACATCATCACATTGTGAGGGGGAAAGGGAGGAGAGGTAGGCAGGGGTAAGTCTCAAAATACGAATTTGGGGGGAGACACAAATATCTAGTCCATAGCAGCCAGTTACCGGTGTATTGCCTCTGTTCCAAAGTCACATTTCATTGCCTACTCTGCTCTAATGGAGATGAGCCTTGGAAGCATTACTCCTGCACAGTTGACATGATGTGAAGTTTGCCAATAGAGAGTGCTAGAGGGACCCTGCAAGAGGAAGCAGCTTCTCTTCCCGGTTTTGGCTCATTTCTGTATTGCTCCTGCCTCATGACTACCTTGCACATGCAAGGGACATCCAGCCACACTCTCATGGATGGCTTCCCGTTGAGTTTCAGCAACTCCCAAAGAGCAGAACCCCCAGTGAATTTCAAAGCTATCCCAGTGGGAGTGCTTCCCAGCTTCAGTCTACCTGTACCTTGGCAGGACCTTTCCTGCTTCCCCAGTGATCATAGACCAGCACTGGCCAGGAAACCCAGCAAACTTCTGTGCCATCCAATGGGCCTCAACCAAACCTTCTCCAAAGAGGTCTAGATGTCAGCCTTGGGGAGGGGTCTGCCTTCCAAATTTGTCCTTCTTTGAGTACTCCTCCCCTAGTGCAAGTTTCGGAAGTTCTCTTTAGCCCTTAATACTTAATCCTTTGCTATTCAATCATTCTTTACCTTAAACTTGCCCTCTTCACATCGTTGTGTGGTTCTTAGCTCCTAGATCATGACCGACATATTCCCTGGGGGATCTTATCCATCTAATCTCATAGCATCAAATGCCAACTCTATCCCCACAACCTCCAGATCTCTCTCTCTCTCTCTTAAACTCCAGACTCAAGATACATCTACCCACCAATACGTGCACCGGGATATTCATAGAGCAAATCTGTTTGTCCAAACTACACTCCCAATACCCACAGCACAGCTTGCCCTATCCGCAGCCTCCTCCCCCACATTTATAAACAACTCGATATCCTCTTCTGCTCACCGTCAAAGACCTTGGGAGTCATCACTGACTCTTCTCTCTTTCTCTCTCACCCTCACATTAAATCTTTAAAATACATGCTATTATGTAACTGTCTTCTCACCACGTCCATCACTCCCCCCCCCCCCCAGCTGCTATATCATCTCTTGCCTGGATTGTTGCAATTAGCTTCAAGATTATCAACACAGGGAATCCCTGGGTGGCGCAGCGGTTTGGCGCCTGCCTTTGGCCCAGGGCGCGATCCTGGAGACCCGGGATCAAATCCCACGTCGGGCTCCCGGCGCATGGAGCCTGCTTCTCCCTCTGCCTGTCTCTCTGCCTCTCTCTCTCTCTCTCCCTCCCTGTGTGACTATCATAAATAAATAAAAATTTAAAAAAAAAAAAAAGATTATCAACACAACAGTCAAGGCAATCTTTTAAAATGTACCTTGTCACTCCTTCGCTCAAAGTCAAAGCCGTGGCTGCCAAAAGTCCAAGCCAAAGTCCTTAAAATAGACCACTCTACCTTTGCCAGTTTCAAACTGTCCACCAAGGCACCCCAGGACAGCACCGTATATTCACGGGGGCACAGAGGATGGCTTCCATTTCTGAGCTTAACACAGCAACATCTGTCAGACTTGACTATTGAATTGTTAGAATCTAACAACTCATAAGACCTTGTTCAGTATTTCCTTTGATGTAAGGCATCATGAAAAATTACTAAGACAAAAAGGGCACCATAAACCGAGATTTGGGAACCTGGGCCCCACATGGTCATGTCTCTGATCTCATCTATGGCTGCCCCTCACTCTCCCCACCACTCCACTCCGCCACCAAAGAGTGGCTAGCTTCTGCACCTCCTTTAAGATTTGCTTAAATGTCACCTCCTAACATGAGGTCCTCGCTCACTCTCTGCCTTACTCAACTCTGGCTGCTGTAACAAAATACCACTGACCAGGTGGCCCAAACGACAGCTTACTTTCAGAAGGCTTGAAGTCCAAGATCAAGATGCCAGCAGATTAGGATTCTACTTCAGGACTCTTTCTAGCTCGCAGACAGCCACCTTCTTGCTGTGTCGACTGTAGGGGCACAAGGCAGATTGCCCCAAGTCTGTGCTTTGGCATAAAGATTATTTTGAGTTACAAGTAATCAAAACCCAGCAGATTCAGGAAAAGCTCTGCCTCCCCTACAACTGTCTAAATTTACATTGGAAATTTAGCCTATAACCGAGATTCCCCTCTACCTAAGGTACTTATCTGCATAATAGGGCAACCTTGTTTTTCCAAAGATCTCCCCCCACCTCTCTGCCAATTAGCTTCTGCCCTCTGTACCCTCAGGCCCCACCCCTCCCCTAAGCTCAGGTAAGTTTCCTGCTGTCTCATTGCCTTTGGAATGTGCTGCCTGTGTAGATTCTCTGATTTACGCCCTTAAATTTGATTTTCTCTTCTTAATCTGTCTCATGTCAATTTGATTGTGTCTTATGGCAAGTCTTCTTCCCAAATGCTTAACATGGCCTTTCTTCAAGAGAAAGAGCTCTCTAGTGTCTCTTCCCCTAAGGACACTGATCATATGGGATCTGGGCACACACCCCCTGCTTTGTTATCTCATTTAACCTGAATTACGTCTTTAGAGGCCATCTCCAATTACAGCCACATTGAGGGGTTAGGGCTCCAACACAGGAATTTTGTGGGGGACACACATCCAGTCCATAACAACCACCCTACCTGAAACTGTAAGCCCCTCCCTCCCCAACATTCCTTTACCATCTAACCTTGCTCTTTTTTTTAGCAGGCTCTACCTTTTTCACATGCTCTAAACATATTCAAGTTCTAGTACACTGTTTAATGTATAGAATGAAACAATGTGGGCAGAGGTCTTTGTCTACTTAGTTCCTGTGTGTCACAGATCAGAGCCTACTACATAGTAGGCACTCAAAAATTACTTGTTTAGGGACACCTGGGTGGCTCAGTGGTTGAGCGTCTGCCTTTGGCTCAGGTCATGATGCTGGGGTTCTGGAATCGAGTCCCCTCCCCTATGTGTGCATGTGCATTTGTATGGGTCATATCTGGAAAGATATATCAAGTTATTTTTGTTAATGTTTAAAAAGATTTATTTATTTTAGAGCTACAGAAGGGCAGAGGTAGAGGGAGAGAGGAACCAGACTCCCCCATTGAGCATGGAGCCTTGACATGGGGCTTGATCCCACAACCCAAGCAGAAACCAAGAGTCAGGTGCCCAACTAACTGAGCCACCCAGGCGGCCCTATCAAATTGTTATAAAGGGCTTTTTCTGGAGCATTAGGAGAATTAATTCTTGGTAGTTTAAACATTTCTGAACACTTTGTTTTCCTAACCATTAAGTATGTATAATAAAAAAAAAAAATTTCCCTCCCCTACAGGGAGCCTGCTTCTTCCTGTCTGTCTCTGCCTCTCATGAATAAATAAGTAAGATCTTTAAAAAAAAAATACTTGAATGAGTAGCTAATGCATGAGAGAACACATCCCCTCTTCCTCACCCCCTTGCTCCTTTTATCCTCTTTGCACATCACTAAGGAAAGCAAAAGAAACATGCTAAATAATCAATCATAAGGTCTAGTTGCCAAGTGGAATGAAATTAGCTCTCCTAAAACTAACTATACCACTAGAAAGCCACTTAACTTACAGGACTGTTTCTTCACCTGAAGAACGGAAATCATCTGTCTTAAGTATCACCAGAACAGACATGCAATGCCGTATGGTATGTGTGCTGTCAACAGCCACACTTGTGAGGCAGTTCCAGCTCTACTGCTCTCTGCCTGGGTGTCCTCGTTCAGGCACCACAACAAAACACCAAAGACTGGGTGACTTGTAAGCTGAAATTTATTGCTCACAGTTCTGGAGGCTGGAAGTCTGAGATCAGGGTGCCAACATGGTTAGGGGTAAGGGCCCTCTTCCAGGTCACAGACTTGGATCTCAGTGCTGGAGGGGCTAGGGAGCTCACAGGAGCCACTTTTATAAGGGCACTAAGCTAATCTTATACATAAGGGTCACTGCATACCCCCCACCCCCCACCCCCCGCCAAAGGTCCACCTCCTAATACTATCACATTGGGCTTTGGGATTTCAACATATAAATTTGGAAGTCAGATGGGAAGGACACATCCAGACCATAACACTGGGTGACTTTAAACAAATCAGTTCTACCTTCCTAAGACCCCACTTTCCTGTAAAACTTGGATAATATCCCTTTGACAGTGTCAAGGAACCAGAGTCTCCTGCCCCACCCACCCCCCGCCTTCAAAGGTCCTTCAAGGTGGACTAAGAAGCAAATTGACATGAGACACATGAAAACTACCAAATGTAATAATATACGTGTGGGGAATCCACAAAGACATGGAAATTCCAAAGACAGGCAAAATGAGGTACGTAGGTCATCCCGAACTATTACCCTCCCGAAGGCAGGGGTCCGGGTCTTCGAAGGGAAGGTGCGTCATTCACAGGCAGTAGAAGAGCAGATGTTTGGTAATTAGCTGTTTGTCCTGTCCTATAGACGGGTCACTCAGATAAAGTTCATCTCTGCTAATCACCCTAATTCTGGGAAAGACCCCCAATGTAGATTTTCCTACATAATTGAGGGAGGGGCATGTTTCTTTTGAGCTCTTCACTGCCTTCAGCTCACAGTATTCATCATGCTGAAGTGGCCCATCTCGGGATGGCCTGCCCTTGGCCCCTACAAAGTAGAACGTAAGGATCAGGAAAGTCTCCTCAGTGAAACGCAGAATTGCCAAATGACCAAGCAATCCCGAGCAATCCCACTCTATCCGCAAGAACCGGAAACCAGTACCACCTGAATGCTCACAGCCGCACTATTCAAGGCAGAACCCATCTATAGATCTACCAACGCACCAGTGGATGAGCTACTTGTCATAGACGCAAACAATGGAATACTGTTTGGCCACAAGAGAGAACAAAGTCCCGATGATACTGGAGAGCTTGGTTCTTGTCTCGAAGACAAGAGTGAACAAAGCGATAGAAGTTTATTAAGCAGAGATACAGAGAAAGCTCTCAGAAGTGAGAGGGACCCAACAGGGTTGCCATGGAGAGCTTTTTGGCTGACCCTTTATTGAGAGCCTAGGGAGCCCATGGCCTTAAGATTCTTGCGCAGTCTTGGTTTGAGCAGGGACTATTGATAACACCTTAATGACTTATTTCTTTGTGGTCTGGGGAGTTTCTCTGATTACTTAGTAACCATCAAAGGGAGATATTCCCTAACATTTTGGAGCTAGGGAGCCAGGTTTATTATTTTCCTGTTTTTCCTGTCTAATGTATTTTCTTGGGATGGGTAGGCCTGACTCGGCCTTTCGGTGTCTTTGGGGTTTATGGGAGCCCAAAAATTTCTGGGAGCCGGACTCTGGGCCTTTCCCTTATCTTTCCCTGCCTAGCCCCATCTGCCCCTAACTCATTCCTACATCACTGACATCGGCTACATGTCTGAGCCTGGAAAACACGCTGAGTGAGAGAAGTCACGCACCAAAATCTGCAGGTTGCCAGATTCCATTTACATGATATATTCAGAATAGGTCATTTCATG